TTAGGGCACGTCTAGCATAGTCTTTATTGTAGATCTAATTTATCCCCCACTTCTAAGCTTGTCTCCTAGGGTTTCTTTTGAATGTCCCATGTATTCAGTGGGGTTTCCTCACTCTTGCTGGAGGAAATTTGAATGAGTTCTTACCCTGAGTGAGCTCAGGGAATTGTTTGCTTTATAGTTGCTTCTAATTGTTCTTTCATCAGAAATTATTCTTACCCCAGCCTGTGACATTTCTCCTTATGTATTTACAGACTAGAATTCACAGAGGCTTAAGGGATCCAAAATTCAGATTTCAGGAAATCTTTCTCTTTGAAACTTACTTTGGAAGTTCAGTCCCTTTGGTTCATCGGAGCCTTGTACAGTTGCTTTTTCAATTATTGTGATTGTGGGACACGATTTAGGTTCCCTTCCGATGGCTGCAGTTTGGAAATTGCCTCTAGACAGAGGGCCTAGAGTATGGTAGGTAGGGCTCACCTCATTTGCTTCATTTCTCTCAATGATCAAGTCCTGTGCTGCCTATTATCCAGTTTCTGAAAACAGTTTCTACATTTTGTTGAATTTTTTAGCTGTCGACTATGAGAAGGTAATTCTGAGCAGTGTTGCCTGCTCATACCTGGAAGCCGCAGTGCACTGTTGTTACTTTTATTTCACTCCTTACTCTTAATTTTTGCTGGGTACATCCTTTAGAAGTTCTTTCAGAGAGTGTCTGTGGTTGGTTCATTATTTGAGTTCTTGAATTCTCAAAAGTTAGTAGCCTTAAAACTTGAGTGATGGTTTATTTTTTATTTTATTTTATTTTTAGAGACAAGGTTTCACTCTTTTTTTTTTTTTTTTTTTTTTTTGGAGACGGAGTTTCGCTCTTGTTACCCAGGCTGGAGTGCAATGGCGCTATCTCAGCTCACCGCAACCTCCGCCTCCTGGGTTCAGGCAATTCTCCTGCCTCAGCCTCCTGAGTAGCTGGGATTACAGGCACACGCCACCATGCCCAGCTAATTTTTTGTATTTTTAGTAGAGACAGGGTTTAACCATGTTGACCAGGATGGTCTCGATCTCTCGACCTCATGATCCCCCCGCCTCGGCCTCCCAAAGTGCTGGGATTACAGGCTTGAGCCACTGTGCCCGGCTGACAAGGTTTCACTCTTATCACCCAGGCCGAAATGCAGTGAAACAGTCATAGCTCACTGTAACTTTGAGCTCCTGGGCTCAAGTGATCCTCTCACCTCAGCCTCCTGAGTAGCTGGGATTATAGGTTTGTTCCACCATGCCCAGCTAATTTTTAAATATTTTATAGAGATGGTGTCTCACTGTGTGGCACAGGCTGTTCTCAAACTCCTGGCCTCAAGCTGTAGTCCTCCTTTGCCCTCCCAAAGTGCTGGGATTACAGGAATGAACTAGCATGCCCAGCCAACTGATGTAGTTATCGAATTTGTGGCTTCAAAGTTATTTTCCTCTCTGCTTGGAATATGCTGTGATTTGCTGTTTGCTTCTATTGAGTGTTGCTGATGAGAAGTCTGCTTTTATTATGATCTCTGTAACTTTGTAGGAAACTTCTTTTTTATTTCATGGAACTTGTAATAAAGTTTTCACTTTATTCTTATTATCTAAAATTTTCATGTGTTCAGTATGGATTAATTTTAAAAATACATCCAGTTTTTTCCTTAAGCCTTTTTAAATCTGAAGACTGTCTTTTTTAACTTCTGAGAAATGCTGTTCTATTATTTCTCAGGATCCTGTCTCTTACCTGTGGATATGGGATGCTGGAACTTTTTATTCTAGCTCCCATTTTTAACTTTTCTTCTGTGGTTTCTATGTCTTTATACTTTACTGGGTACGTATAAAGAACTGAGAAAATTCCTCAGTTCTCTCTTAGCTTTCATTTGCTTTTCATGTCTGTGTGTTCAACTATCATTTACTTTCAGTGATTCAGTTTTTAATTTCTTTATTTGATTCTTCTTTTCTTTCTTTCTCTTTCTTTTCATTTTTCTTTTTCTTTTTTTTTAAGACAGAGTCTCATTCTGTGGCCCAGCCTGGAGTGCAGTGGCACAATCTTGGCTCATTGCAACCTCCACCTCCTGGGTTCAAGGAATTCTTGTACCTCGGCCTCTTGAGTAGCTGAGACCACAGGCATGTGCCGCCACGCCTGGCTAATTTTTGTAATTTTAGTAGAGACGGGGTTTCACGATGTTGGCCAGACTGGTGTCAAACCCCTGGCCTCAAGCAGTTCGTCCCACCTTGGCCTCTCAACGGGCTAAGATTATAGGCCTGAGCCACCAGGCCTGGCTTGCTATTTGATGCTGCTGCTGCTGCTACTTTATTTTCCTTCTTCTTCTCCTTTTTTTTTTTTTTTTTTTTTTTTTTGGTAACAAACACTTGTACCAAGGGCTGACTTTTTTTCTTTTTTTCTTTCTTTCTTTTTTTTTTTTTAAAGACAGAGTCTTGCTTTGTTGCCCAGGCTGGAGTGCAATGGCCTGGTGTTGGCTTGCTGCAACCTCCACCTCCCAGGTTCAAGCAAGTCTTCTGCCTCAGCCTGTGGAGTAGCTAGCATTACAGATGCCTGCTACCACGCCTGGCTAGTTTTTTTTATTTTTAGTAGAGATGAGGTTTCACCATGTTGGCCAGGTTGGTCTCTGACTCATGACCTCAAGTGATCCACCTGCCTCAGCTTCCCAAAGTGCTGGGATAGCACCTGACCTATTTGATATTGTTGATATTTTTTAGGTCCTTTTTTACTCCTATCTACTGTTTTACCTATTTCTGTGGAATATAAATTCCTTTTTGTTTTGGTGCCTTTGGGAAAAATTTTTTTTTTCCTTTTATTCGAGACGGAGTCTTGCACTGTTGCTGGGACTAAAGTGCAATGGTGCAATTTTGGATCAGTACAACCTCTGCCTCCTGAGTTCACACGATTCTCCTGCCTCAGCCTCCCGTGTAGCTGGGATTACAGGAGCACACCACCATGGCCGGCTAATTTTTTATATTTTTAGTAGAGACCAGCTAGGCTGGTCTTGAATCCTGACCTCGTGATCTGCCTGCCTTGGCCTCCCAAAGTGCTGGGATTACAGGTGTGAGCCACCACACCTGGCCGAAAAAGTTTTTTAAATGGTTTTGTTTTTTATGTTTTCAATTTTATATCTGAGATTTCTCCTTAGACCATGAGTCATTTTTTACTCATAACTTATAAAGAAGGGCTCTCAATGGCTTATCTACCCTCTGTTTCATCCTAGACAGCACAGTTTTATCAGTTTATGATTTTTGAACCTTTTTTGTTGACACAGAATTCATGTAACAGCAAATTTACCATTTTAAAGTATGTAATATAGCGGCTTTTAGTATATTCATTATGTTGTGCAGTTATTATTGTTACTTGATTTCAGGACATCTCCATCACCTGCAATGAAACCCTATATGTAATAGCAGTTTCAGTTCTCCTCTTCCTCCATCTTTTGGCAATCACCAGTCTATTTCTGTTTCTATGGATTTGTTGCCTTTTTTTTTTTTTTTTTAAAGACAGCGTCTTGCTCTGTCACCCAGGCTGGAGTGCAGTGGCTCAATCGGAGCTCACTGCAGCCGCTAATTCTTGGGCTCAAGCAATCCTCCCACCTTAACCTACCGAGTAGCTGGGATGTGCCACAATACCTGGCTAATCTTTAAACATTTTTTGCAGAGATGAAATCTCAGTATGTTGCCCAGACTAGTCTTGAATCTCTGGGCTCAAGCAGTCTGCCCACATTGTCCTCCCAAAGTGTTGGGATTACAGACGTGAGCCATAGCAGCACCACCATAGCACCAGCCTGGATTTGCTTATTGTAGACATTTTATATAAATGGAATAATTATGTGCGGCCTTTTGTGCCTGGTCTTTTTTTTTTTAAGACTTAGTGTAATGTTTTCTAAGTTCATCTGTATTCTAGCATGTGTCTTGTTTTTTTATGGCCGAATGATATTCAGTTGTATGGTTATATTGCCTTTTGTTTAGTTGATGGACATTTTGGTTGTTTTCATTTTTTGTCTATTGTGAATACTGAACCCATGAAAAATTGTGTATTAGCTTTTGTGTGTGGTTTTATATACTTGTAATTCTTTGGGGTATATACCTAGGACTGGAGTTCCTATCTTATCTAGTAATTCTGTGTTTATCTGTTTATGATTGAGTTAGCACAATAGATTTGTTTTGAAAGGAAATTTTTGCCAAAATGAAAAAGAATCAACAAAGGAAAGGTACAAAAACAAACATATAAACACTTACCTAGTTATGGTGGGAAAAACTATCTTCTTTTTGAGATGGAGTCTCGCTCTGTCACCCCAGCTGGAGTGCAGTGGTGAGATCTCAGCTCACTGCAACTTGCGCCTCCTGGGTTTAAGCGATTCTCCTGCCTCAGCCTCGTGAGTAGCTCGGATTACAGGTGTCGGCCACCATGCCCAGCTTAAGTTTTGTATTTTTAGTAGAGACAGGGTTTCACCATGTTGACCAGGCTGGTTTTGAATTTCTGACCTCAAGTGATCCACCTGCCTCAGCCTCCCAAAGTGCTGGGATTACAGGTGTGAGCCAAAACTACTACTCTTAACTAGCAGGTTAATTTTCTGGACTCCAGTTTCTTCGTTGTAAGTGTGAATGGATTTGATTAGACTTCTATGACCCTTCTTCCAGCTTACTCATTATGAATATAATATTGGAATGCTTTTTAGGGTTTCATATCGAACACATGAGTTTGAGATTTTACTGATGTGGAGTAATACAGATTGGGAGTTACTGTAATTTGTTATTAGAGGAATGAGTCAATATAGGTTAAACTTGAAATTTCATTTTGGGTTATTTTTAATGATACATAGTTAAAATGTTGATTATTTTAAGGGGAAGAATTAGATCCAGTGAAGGATTAAAATAGTCATTACTTTTTCTTTCCATACTTAGTGGCCCGTAACTACCTTTATACTTGCTTTGATTTCATGATGCTGTTCAGTTTTTAGTTAATAACTAATTTATGATTATTTCAATACTAGGAGTTCGCAGTCCCTGATTATCGTTCCTCTCATATTGAAGTCAGTCAGGCATCACAGCTCTTGCAGCAACAGCAGCAGCAGCAGCTTCGAAGACGACCTTCCTTGCTTTCAGAATTTCACCCAGGTTCTGACAGGTAATGAGGCTTCTTTTATGTTTCTATCTAGGATTATAATTGTAAAGTATACATGTGTGTCATTATTTTATTTTTTTATTTATTAACCAAGCCTTGACTGGTTATTTGTAGTTTGCATTTTGAGTTCTTTTGTGTTGACTGGTTGCAACAGTTAACAAACTCTTAAAACTTATTTCCATAGTTTGGCATTAATATGTAGTAGAAAGGCAGTAAACCACCTGGTCGCCTATGTGGCCTTGGTTGTGATCTGTAGACTTGGGCTGCACATTAGAACCACCTGGGATGCCCAAATCCCATCACAAAACACTTAAATCAATCTCTGGGATTGGGCCCAGGCTTTGTTTTATGGCTGAAGTTTTTTTTGGTGATTCTGATTTGCAGCTAGGGTTGCAAATCACTGATTCCAACTCTTCAGGCTTTAGTTTTTCCTCCTGTAAAAATGGAGATAATAGTGGCATTGTCCTCAACTGAGAGCAAATATTCTGTCAGATAATGATGTAGGTTCTATACATGCATGGTAGGTTCTGTTTTTCCTTAGTGTCCTTACCATCTCTGCGTTTCTTTTACTTCATTCCTTTTTTTTTTTTTTTTTTTTTTTTTTTTTTTGAGATATCATCTTTCTAGCTGTGTTGCCCAGGCTGGAGTCCAGTGATGTGATCATGGTTTACTGTAGCCTCAATCTCCTGGGCCCAAGTAATTCTACCATATTAGCCTCCCAGTCCTGGCTAATTTTTGTATTTTTTGTACAGGTGGGATTTTGCAATGCTGCCCTGGCTAGTCTTGAACTCCTGAGCTCAAGTGATCCGCCTACCCCTACCTCCCAAAATAGTTAATTTTTTTTTTTTTTTGAGAAAGAGTCTTGCTCTGTCACTCAGGATGGAGTGCCAGTGGCATGATCTTGGCTCACTGCAACCTTCGTCTCCAGGGTTAAAGTGATTCTCATTCCTCAGCCTTCTGAGTAGCTGGGATTATAGGCGTGCACCACCACACCCAGCTAATTTTTGTATTTTTAGTAGATATGAGGTTTTGCCATGTTGACAAGGCTGGTCTCTCGAATTCTTGGCCTCAAGTGATCTGCCTGCTTCGTACTCCCAAAGTGTTGGGATTACAGGTGTGAGCCACCTCACCTGGCCAGAATTTTTTTTTAAATTGTGTATATTTAAGGCATACAACATGGTGTTATGGGATGTGTATAGATAGTAAAAAGGTCACTATGGTGAAGCAAATTAACAAAGTTATGTATTTTTGCTTTTTTTTTCTTTTGTGCAAAACCAACTAAAACCTACTCATTTAGCATGAATCCAGATACAGCGCGATGTTATTACCTGTAGTCCTCATGTTGTACATAAGAACCTGTTCATTCTATATATCTGCTATCATTCATTCTAGACCTGTTCATTCTATATATCTGCTACTTTACATCCTCTGACTTTCATCTCCTCATTTTCTTTCCACCCTCGGCCCCTGGTAAACCACTGTTTTATTGTCTTTGTATAGTTCGTTTTTTGTTTTTGTTTTTTTTTTAAAGATGGGGTTTCACTGTGATGGCCAGGCTGGTCTTAAACTCCTGACCTCAGGTGATCCACCCACCTCGGCCTCCCAAAGTGCTAGGATTACAGGCATGAGCCACCACGCCTGGTCCCTTTTTTGTTTTTTTTTAAAAGATTCCACATAGAAGTGAAATCATGCTGGAGTGCAGTGTCATGATATTGGCTCACTGTAGTCTCTACCTCCCTGGTTCAAGTGATTCCCCTGCCTCAGCCTCCCCAGTAGCTGGTACTACAGGTGCGTGCCATCATGCCTAGCTAATTTTTTGTATTTTAGTAGAGATGGCGTTTCACAACATTGACCAAGGTGGTCTCAATCTCCTGACCTCATTATCCGCCTGCCTTGGCCTCCCAAAGTGCTGGGATTACAGGCGTGAGCCACTGTGCCAGCCTTTACAGCTCTTTTTTTTTTTTTTTTGCCAGTAGGAGATTTTATATTGTCCTTTTTTCTCTTTGAACTTTTATTTTCTTTTCCAGTAAATTTTTTTCTGATATATTTATTTATTCTTAATAGCATTTTTTTTTTTTTTTTTTTTTTTTTTTTTTGAGATAGTGTCTCACTCTGTCACCAGACACCAGGCTGGAGTGCAGTGGCACGATCTCGGCTCACTGCAACCTCCACCTCCTGAGTTCAAGCAATTCTCCTGCCTCAGCCTCCCGAGTAGCTGGGACTACAGGTGCATACCACCACACCCAGCTAATTTTTGTATTTTTAGTGGAGACGGGGTTTCACCACGTTGGCCAGGATGGTCTCGATCTCTTGACCTCATGATCCGCCTGCCTTGGCCTCCCAAAGTGCTGGGATTACAGGCTTGAGCCACAGTACCTGGTTTCTTAATAGCATTTTATTGTTCATGCTCTCATATTTCTGCTACAAATACATATAGAAATTGAAATTTATTTAAATTTTCTGTGATTTTAGGCTCTGAGTATTTTAAAGTTTTACTTTGGATTAAGTTATGACAATTAGTAGTGGTAAACCAGTGAACAAAAAAGTGTAAGTATATGTATACATTTTATTACATTATTATTAAAAGCAAAAAGTAAAATCTTACTGAAAACACTTTTTAATAAGAGCAGACTGGTTTCCTTTTTCCCAATTATTGTAATTTTTGATTACTAATTACTGGAGACAGGCAGGCTTCTATGTGAATTCTATTCCAACTTTTATTTTTTATAGACAATATTGTTCATGTAAGTAGGTAGAAATGGAATAAATTTTGTAGCTGCAATTTAGCTTAATTCTCTGAATGCCTTCCAATTTATAGACCACAGTGATCTGACTTCTAAAATGTTTTTCTTCTTGGTCTTCCAGCTAAAAACTTAACTAGTTACTTCTTTGATACAGAAGTAAAGAATCAGAAACCACTTTTGCAAAAAAAAAAAAAAAAAAAAAAAAAAAAAAGTCTGTTACCCATACTTTTGCTATTTTCTTTTTTTAGTATTGATGTCATTATTTCTTTTCTTTTTCTTTTTCGAGATGGAGTCTCCCTCTGTCGCCCAGGCTAGAGTGTATGATCTTGGCTCCCTACAACCTCTGCCTCCTGGGTTCAAGCGGTTCTCCTGAGTAGCTGAGATTACAGGCGTAAGCCACTACGCCTGGTTAATTTTTGTATTTTTAGTAGAGATGGGGTTTCACCTTGTTGGCCAGGATGGTCTTGATCTCCTGACCTCGTGATCCTCCCACCTCAGCCTTCCAAAGTGCTGGGATTATAGGTGTCAGCCACTGCACGTGGCTGGATATCATTATTTCAAATTGTTCTTTTGCAGCACTGGAGGTTTAGTTTTAGTCGTTTGCTGTTTCTCACATTTTTATTATCTAGAACAGAGGTTGCCAGACTAAGGCTAGTTGGTGCTGAGCATATCCTTCCTGTCCTGTTTTTGTAGGGGACAAAAATAATTCTTCAAGTTAAGAATTATTTTTACATTTATGTATTAAAATAAATTTTATTGTGTATATTTGAGGTTTACATGATGTTATGGGATACATATAGTTTAGCCAATGAACATATTTATCATCTCACGTACTTTGTTTCAGTGACAAATAGCTAAAATCTACCCATTTAACAAAAATCCAAGATATAATTGTGTTAACTTTAGTCCTCATGTTGTACATTAGATCTCTAGACTTGTTCATCCTACAAGTCTGCTATTTTGTATCCTTTGACCTCCGCGCCCCTTTCTCCATCCCTCACTGGGGTAACCACTGTTTCATTCTCTGTCCTGTGTATTTGAGTGATTTTTTTTTTTTTTAATATTACCTATATAGGGGAGCTCATGCAATATTTTTCATTTCGTGTCTGGCTTATTTCAGCATGGTCCATCCATGTTATGGCATATGACAGGATTTTTTCCTTTTTTAAAGCTGAATAATAATACACATACAGAGACACACACACACACATATCACATTTTCTTTTCTTTCTTTTTTTTTTTTTTTTTTTTTAGACAGAGTCTCACTCTATCACCCAAGCTGGAGTGCAATGTGCAGTGGTTCACTGCAACCTCCACCTCCCAGGTTCAAGCAGTTTCCTGCCTCAGCCCTCCAAGTAGCTGGGACTACAGGCATGTGCCATCACACCCAGCTAATTTTTGTATGTTTAGTAGAGACAGGGTTTTTCTATGTTGGCCAGTCTGGTCTCAAACACTGGACCTCAAATGACCCACCCACCTAAGCCTCCCAAAGAGCTGGGATTACAGGCGTGAGCCACTGTGCCTGGTCCAACATTTTCTTTATCCATTCATCTGTCAATGGGCATCTAAGTTGTTTCCATGTATTAACTATTGTCAATGATGCTGCAAGTGTAGATATCTGGTTGTTGGATTTTTTGGTTTGTTTTTGAGATGGCATCTAACTCTTGTTGCCCAGGCTGGAGTACAGTGGTGAGATCTCGGCTCACCTCAACCTCTGCCTCCTGGTTCAAGCAGTTCTCTGCTTCAGTCTCCTGAGTAGCTGGGATTACAGGCGCCGCCACCACGCCTCGCTAATTTTTGTATTTTTAGTAGAGACAGGGTTTCACCATGTTGACCAGGCTGGTCTTGAACTCTTGACCTTGTGATCCACCCCCACTCGGCCTCCCAATGTGCTGGGATTACAGGCATGAGCCACCAGGCCCAGCCAGATTTTTTTTTTTTTTTTTTGAAATAGGGTCTTGCTCTGTCACTCAGGATGTAATACAGTGGCATGATCATGGCTCACTGCAGCCTGGTCCTCCCAGGCTCAAGTGATCCTCCCACTACAGCTTGCCAGGGTAGCTGGCACCACAGGTGCATGCCACTGTACCTGGCTACTTTTTGTAGTTTTTGTAGAGACAGGGTCTCACTATGTCCGCGCTGGTCTTGAACCCCTGGCCTTAAGTGATCCTTCTGCCTCAGCCTCCCAAAGTGCTAGGATTGCAAGCATGAACCACTGGGCCTGGCCCAGATATCTTTATGAGGTGGTGATTTCATTTC